CCTTCCAACTCTGTTATCTTGTTCTAAGTTAGTGGTGTTCTAACCCAACCAGGTTCCCAAAGAACAAACACAGAAAAAGGCAGCAGGCCCTACCTTTTAAGGTTTAATAAGGAATTCTGTTCTGAAGGCTGCTTTCCACTAATTAGCTCAGACAAGAAAGAGCCTTGCCAAGTTGTTTGTCAAGGCTGCCAAAAACCCAGACATAAGAAGTAATTTACAAAATTCTCCAAACACAAACTAAGATGTCCACCAGTTGAGTTTCAGAGCTTCTTTGCTGTCTGCAAACAACACTTTTCCAAACCTGGCTTTTATCCTCTTGAGGGAGGGGCCATTACCTTTCAGCCTTACTCCCGAGTCGCCTGTGCTGCTGTAATTCTTTTCTCCGAGTAATCCTTCGTGCACATGCACTTGGCACAGGCTCCTTGGGAACCTCCTCGTCACTGTTGCAATCTTTGAAGGCAGCAGTCCACTCCCTGATGGTCCTGGCCCCTCATCAGAGTCATCGCTCTCCTCGGCCATCTGCACCTGCTGCCGGCTAACCACAAGAAGTGGCTGCGCTTTGCTCAGGGACATGCCAACATTCCAGATTATGATTAATTACCTTCACTGGTACAGTTCCGCAGCAGTAGCTGGTCCCTGCTGTACTGAAAGGAATGTCTGACACGACCGTATTGTTGCTAGAAGCAGAGAAGGAAGACGTTAGGATTCTGCAGGCAAAGAAATACTTGCAGCCTAAATATTCAGAGTAATGGATTTTTAAACCACAATAAGACATTCTCGTTGCCCTTTTTTAACAGATAAGCAAGAACCGAAGGCTATATTAAAGCTCTTGATGTAGCCTTTACAATTTGTGCACACTTCAAGATTAGGTTACAATCCAGACAACCACTAGAGGGCAGTAAAACAACACTCTCTATCTGCTGTCGTTTGGTGACTGAAATACTGTATTTACTATTTATGAAATCCAGAAATCAGTTTATAATATTCAAAGTGCATATTTGAGCACAGAAATGACGTGCACATAACATTTTTTTTTAAAACTAGTGCTTTCTCTCGAAAGTGGGATCCTTTATTTTCAGATCGATCAAGTGTTAATCCGCCGGTTATGAAAGAAATTGACTGGGTTGTTGCCTAAGCTATGTTTAACTGTTATGCAATACTGCTGCAAGAGAAAATAAATCTTCTGAACTGCTTCTAGCAGGATTTCTGGATGGACCCCAACTACACAATTGGTGCCAATGAAAAATCTCTTGATATTGATTTAATATCCCAGATCATAGAATCCTTTTGAATTGCCTCACAAAAGTGGAATTAGACTGATGGCTACATCTAAGGAAGTAATGCTGGGAAACTGTTATCCCCCCCCCCCCAATTACTTGTGTCCTTTTGCATTTTTTTCCCTCCTGTTCAATTATGTCTGATTCTCAGAGGCTGATTTGCTTTGTTCTCTTCCTAGTCTCTCTCTCTCTCTCATTCTCTCTCTCTTGTATGGCAGGCCCAAAGTCACCCAAGTGGCTTTGTGCCGAAAGCAGAAATAAAACTCACTTCCTCCCAATTTCTACTGCATGTGTCCTTAACAACTATACCAACCTGACTTTATTTTTCATTTCAACCTTTTTTGAAATTGTTACACATTTATTTGTGTTATTCCTGTAAATTGTATAGATTTTTTTATTAAAAAATATCCAGACTTTGAATGATTCCATTTCTGGCAAAGATGAACATGGCACCAATAAATCAGATTATTTCCCTTAAGAGATTGTAAAAGGGAACTTTTTTTAAAAAAAACATGCCCTATTAAAATACAGACTCTTGCAAGAGAAAGCTTACCTCCAACATGAAGTGTGTTAAAAGAGCAGGGGCAATGTTGGCTCCTATTTTCTAACTGAGTAATAAAAGGAAGGGACGACCACAGAAGCCGATAAAAATCTTTCCGGCAACAGAAAAGAACCACTCTCGTGTAGGCATTCAGGTATTTTACTGAAGAGAGAAACCAGAGAATCTCATGAAGGGAAATGGTAGGATGAGCAGCATGCAGAAATTCCTCCCCTTTCAGGAAAACAAAAAGTGTGGCTTCCTTTAGTTTAGTCTCCAACCTTGGCAACTTTAAGCCTGGCGGACTTCAACTCCCAAAATTCCCCAGCCAGCATTGCCAAAAATGACCCATAGCAAGCAATGGATTTGCTCAATGACCATGGATTCACTTAGCAACCATGGTGATTTGCTTAATAACTGTTGCAACATAATAAAATTAGGTCAGTGACACAACTTATTTTATGATCATCACAATGTTCTGACCTGGCTCCCAAACACGGCAAACCCTCTGTAGTTAAATAAATGTTCCCTTTATTAGGAGCACCAGCAGCCCTGGCAAATATATATATCTTTCTCTCACAGCAGGCTAAGTCTGTCTGGCAGGGAGATGAATAATTGTCTGCCACATCTATTCATCTCCGCCCCCTGCCTTTTATCCCCAGAGCTAGGGCGGGGCTTTGCTAGCAGCAATGGCTCTTCCATCCCAAGGACCGGCCCATAGATTTCCACTGCTCTCCTCTCCTCTGCCTTCTGCACATCAAGCACTGGACCCTGCTGTTCCTCCTCTTCCTCATCAGCCACCTCCAGACCTGGGGGCTGTTGACTTTCCACCTGAGGGCTGACGGACAGCCCAGTTTCTGCCTCTGTCTCTCTCTCTGCCAGCTCCATTCCCTCTTCCCCCTTGGAGGTCTCAGATTGCCTTGATGCTGCCCCTGACTCCCACCCCTCCTCATCTGGTGGAGAGGCCGGCGTTCAACAGGCCACAACAAACATGCAGGCTCCATCACGGCCATTAGTCAAGGACTACCTGCTTTGTGCACTAGCAAAACCCAGGAAACTATACCTGAAAAAGCATTAGAGCAACAAGCGGCTCCAAAGTCTCCATGTATTCTTGCAACCGCATTCTTCACCGCATTGTGCACGATGCGCTCCTCAATGAACTGCGGACAGCGAGGGTCTTCAGAGATAATCTCGCAGAGGAAGTACCTGGAAAAGCAGAGCAGAAGATCAAAGAAAGGACTCTTAGAGCTACCCATAGTGCACTACCAGCGTTACACAGCTGGGCAGAATGCTTTCATAACTTCCAGCTATGGGCGCTCCATCACTGGAGGTTTTTAAGAGTCTAGACAGTCACTTATCTGAAATATTACAGGTTCTCCTGCTTGAGCAGGGGGCTGGACTAGAAGACCTCTAAGGTCCCTTCCCTGCCTTATTCTGTTATAATCAGTTCTGGGCTTGCCTCCAGAAACCTCACGGAGGTTTTTAAGAAGAGATTGGCCAACCATTTGCCTGAAATGATATAGGTATATAAGGCCTCCTGCTTGAGCAGAGGGCTGGACTACAGGATCTTCAAGGTCCCTTCCAGCTCTATTCTATTCATTCGCACCACGCGCTTGGCCCGCGTTTCCATGCGTCATTGGGAAGGCAGCGGGCTGCCTCGGCCGAACGAGGGCTCCCAGCGCCGCCGCCGCGCTCTCCGAGCTCCCGCGCTCACCCTTCCCTGCCGCCCGCCGAAGCCTCACCGGTTCCTAAACCGAACCATAGCGTGATTCGGTCTGAAAGAAGAGTCGGTACGCTCTAGCCCGCCGCGTCTCTATCGCGGAAGCGCCCTCGCCCACAGAGATAAGGAGAGAGAGAGAGAGAGAGAGAGAGAGAGAGAGACACGTCAGAGAAGATTCTCCTTCCCATTGGCCCGCATCTGACGTCACGTGCAGATGTTTTTGCACCCTCTCCTTCTCTATCGCCTTTGGAAAGTTCTTTTCGTTCTTTTTTTTTCCTCCAGCGAACCAATCAGCGGCTGTCATGCGTCCTCCCTTCCTTTTTCCCCTCCCACAAATGGTTTATTTTCCCTCTCTGAAACGTACCACCTCTCTCATTGGCTGTCTGAGAGGGAGAGGGCAAAAGCGGAGCTTATAAAAGCCGTTGCCTTTTCCCCCCCGCCCTTTGTAGAATTTTTTTTGGGGGGGGGGTGGGGCTTCGCTGAGGTTTGAGTTTCTTGAGGTAACGCCTCGCTTTTGTAAATAAACGCAAATAAAAGAATGGGATGTCTGCAAACGACACGCCAATTGTCACAACACACAACCTGCCAGTGAATAATTCCGGGGGCACGAAAAGCCTTCTGAGGATGGCTGGGATAACAATACCCATCATCCCCACCAAGAAGGCGGTGCAGCCAAACCACATCCTGCCTTGTAGCTGTGGAGATTCAATGTGGGATTGGATTGGCTTAACCCCCCTCAGTGGAGTGGCAGCACTAAGCATTTAAGAGTGGATCAGTCTTGGATGAGAGACCACCAGGAAAGCTCAGGGCTGAATGAAGTTGAAAAGGCAAAAGAATTTGGGAATAATTTGAGGATTCTCGAAGGGATTTGTGTCACTAGAGAGAGAAGAGAGTTGACATTACAGTTGGAGGAGGAGGAGGATGCTATGAAAAGACAAGTTATCAATGATGAACATAGAATCGGGCTGGAAGGGGCCTTGAAGGTCTTCTAGTCCAACCCCCTGCCCTAGCAAGAGACTATGCCATTCCGAATAAATGACTTGTCTAGTCACTTCTTAAAAACTTCCAGTGATGGAGCACCTACAACCTCTGAAGCTTTTCCACTAATTAACTGTTCTCAACTGCCAAGAAATTCCTCCTCCTGCATTGGAATTTCGTTTTAATGTGTGCCATTGTGTATGCAGGAAAGTGATAATAAAGTTATCTTATTTCCAGGTTGAATCTGTCTTTAATGAGCTTCCAGCCATTATTTCTTGTACTGTCCTCTTCAAAGTTCTGGAGAAAAATCAGTGCAATGCAAGCCCTGTTGTATGTGAAAGAAACACTGAATTTTATGAAAATAAAGGATCAAAGCTAACATGCTGAGTTGACGGCAGTGGAAGGTCAAGCAGCCCAAAAGAAAAACACTGACCAAGGCAAAGCAGGTGGATCTACAAGTGAACACAGGCTTCACCATGTCTGATTTGCTAGTTGATGCATTGCTATTGAGGGACTTTGAGGAGGAAGTTGATACTATGAAAAAGCAGTTGGAAACACGGAAGCATCATGCTACTGTCCCTTTTTTCTTAGTGGAATCAAAAAGAAAATTGAAATCTTTACTGCCCTTCTGAATTGCCTTTAATATTCATTCCACCAGTGTGCATATTATTAGGAGGCCTCAAAATTAAATAGCCATCTAGAGTGCCGATGTAAACAGAAAGATGGCGTATATAATTTGAAAGAAGTAAGTCAAGCTCAAATCTGAAAGAGACATTACCTTTATGTTATTGTAAACCACTGTACTGGACAAGCAGAATAAGGTTGACAGATAATAAGGTTCTCTGATCTTTCTGTAGAATTGCACCTCAATCAATTCAGTTAATGTTTTTTCTAATCAACTCAAAATTTGTGGTTTTCAATTCATAATGCCAAAAGAATTTTTTAAAAAAAGCACAAGGATTCTTTGGCCACAGAATGTATATACCTATAATTTATTCATCTGTTCTTTTTTTCCTGAGACAAGAGAAAATAAAATTTCTAATGAGACTCTGGTTAGGTGCCCTGGCAGTCCCCATTCTGTAAGATGTGGCCACCCTCCACCCAGTGGAAATTGGAGCAATTAAAGGAATAGAATGAATGTGACATCCAAAATGGCTTTCCATTTTCTACTGTCTGGAAAAACTCATTTACACTTCAAATCTTGGCCTGCCAGCACTAGTAGGAAAACATCTTGAGTGCAAAGAATGTTACACTGCCACTTGCACACAAGCCTCACCTAGGTGGGCTTGTTCAAATATTGGAAATGTCAAAGGGGTAGAACATTTCTAGGATGTCGGACCATCCTGCCCTTTCAGAGACTGTCCAACTTGTTGGAGAGAAACAGAGACCAGCCCTTTTCATACTGATGCCTTGCTAGGAAATCCACAAACAGAAGAGACCAGATTTGACAAGGTCAGGGAGAAAATACAACAGATGTAATGCAGACCTCAGGTGGGAAGAAGGAGGGATTAAGTTTTATCTCTTGCACATTTCCTTAAATGTGAACAAAGCTATCTACTGTCATTCTTGAAGACTTTGGTGAGTCATGGGCAGTATAATAAGTATTGATTGTGCATCAAAAATACAGATTGGGCTATTCATAAAAACGTGTGAATACTTATGGAAAAATATGACTGCCCTTTTACTTTAAAATCTCCTTGAAATGCTACTTCCTTTTCTAACAAACTTGGCTCAAATTGTGGCTTCTGCATTGTGTTGCAGGAAATTTACATAACTGCTTCCTTGCAGTCCCCAAAACCCTTTTTATGGTTATGAGTGTCCTCCAACTGCATTGCCAAATTTGCTCGTCTGATTGCCAAGAATTGATAGCAGTTTCCTGTAATTCTATAGAAGGAAACAGGTAAATGTACTTGACAAAACTTCAGAAACAAAGGAGAATCCTACTTCTCCACATGGCCCCTTGTATGTCAGATGCAGCCTTGCCCACTTGACCTCACTGCCCAGCTAGGCTCTGAGGGACCTTCCCATGCCAGAACATGGTGCAGCCCAAGTCACTACAATATACGGTATATATTGTATGTTCTCTTTTACTTATTTAATATGTATGTTGTTAATGTATCTAACATTGAATTCATAAACTAATCACATCCTTCCTTTGGGCTTGAAACGGTCTTGTGTGCCACAGTGCCAGCCAGGTAATCCTTCAGGTGTCTCAACAGTATATGGTCAAAAAAGTCGACGGCATATAAAAAATGGGCAAAGGTTTAATTTTGCCATTGTGGCCCCCACCTTGACTTTTTTATGATTATAATAATCTGGAGCTTAACATGTTTAAAATTGTAGAGATGAGAATGGGTTTTAGGAGGAGCCCTTCAGTTTTACCCCCTCTTACTATAGAAAGCACAGTATCAGCAGTAGAGTCCTTCAGGCGTTTGCATTCTATAATCTCCCAGGACTTGAAATGGATGCTTCAGATTAGAACCATCATTAAAAAGCAATGCAAAGAATGTTTTTCTTGCATCAACTTAGGCAGCTCAGACTGCCCCAGGAGCTGTTGATACAGTTTTACCAAGGAATTAGTAAGTCTGTCATTTCTGCTTCTATAACTGTCTGGTTTGGTACAGCAAACAGGGCAGGCACATATTTTGCAGTTAAGACTGCAGAAAGAACAATTTCAACCAGCCTGCCTTTCAAAGAAGACCCGTCTCTTGTGTGGGTCAGAAGGAGGGCTGAGAAGATTATCCGCAGACCCCTCACATCCTGAACATAAACTGTTCAAAGTCATTCCCTCCGTATGGCACTATAGGGCATTGTATGCCAAAACAATTAGGTACAGGGGCAGTTTTCCCCCTCGTGCCATCACTCTGTTGAATACTTAATTCTCTCAGTGCTGCTAGTGTCTATTAATCCAGTGTTATTGTAGTATTATTTATCCTTTTATTATCTTCTTTACTCCCTCCTTTTATTGGTATTATTATTTTTCTGTTGCTTTGCTGAGAGCTTCTGTCTCGGAGACAAATTTCTTGTATGTCCGATCACATTTGGCCGAATAAAGTATTCAATTCAAGCTGTGAACAGGTTTGTAAGTCTTTGAGTCTATCGGAGTCTCAGCACTCCTGCTTCAACCTTCTTTTCCCTTCCTGGGTCTAAGCTTTGTGGTTAATTTGTGTTTCATCTGGCTGCATTCTGGACATTCCCCTCCCAGACAATGGTCAGCTTTCCAGCTCAGGATCCCGATGGGTTTTCTGCTCTGTGGACACTTCTACGGACATGCAATGCTTTCCTTGTGCCTTACGAAACCCTGCACGCAGGTTGTGTTTTTCCATTTGACAGTGATGCAGCTGAGGCTTTGGTACCCTGCCTGCCTCAGTGCGCTTGGTCGGGTAATCGGATAGGAAGGGTGCACTGAGCCAGGTCCAGGGAGTAGCAAGGATCTTCTATTTTTGCCTCAGGAGTCTGATTAGGGGTGACATGGAAGGCGGAAGAAAGAATGTATGGGACAAACCATTTTCCTTTGTTTTTAAGCGGGAAAGCACCACTGTAACCGCATCCACCTGGGGTAGCTGCCACCTATATGGAAACTCCACAATCAATATCACCTTCCTTAATTTCCTCCATCTGAAGAAAGGGACCTGATACAGGTCGTTCTCAATTTAAGTCCCTGAGTCCAAAATGTATGTTGCTAAGTGAGACAGTTAAGTGAACTTTGCTCCATTTTATGACCTTTTCATAGTTGTTAAGTGAATCACTGAAGTTGTTAAGTTAGTAACGTGGTCTTTAAGCCTCCCCATTGACTTTGCTTGTCAGAAGGGGATCGGCCCAGACACTGCAACCCTCGTGGGGATATCAGTTGGGCAATTGCCAAGAGCCTGAATTTTGCTCATGTGACCAGGGAGATGCTTGCAACGGTCAGAAGTGTGAAAAATGGTCATGAGTCACTTTTTTTTCAGTGCCACTGTAACTTTGAATGATCATTAAATGAACTCCCTGTAGTTTTTAATTGTCCATACTCTCAGCATAAGAGTATATTGAGCACCTCTCACCTAACAGTTGGATCACGGACAAATACAAAATATAGTAAG